GAGGAGGGATTCTACCAGCAAGGGACATCGAGATCATGATGGGAAAATGTACAGAGACAACCAGCCAAAGTAGTGGAAATGCATGAACTGTGGACCAATAGCTGTGAAACCCCCATAGGACTGGACTAGACTTTTTGAATAGGTGAGACAGTGGGATGGAAATCTGTCCCTGGTGCATGAGTGGGCTTTTTGGAGCCCAGTGCCTAAGATGGGTCATCTTAGGCAGCCTTGGAGCAAGGGGGAGGGGCTTGGACCGGTCTCAACTGAATGTACTAGGCTCTGCTGACTCCCCATGGGAGACCTTGCTTTGGAGGAGGTGGGAATGGGAGGAGGGGTGGATTGGGGGACAAGGTCGGGGGCAGGTAGAGGGAGGAGAGTGGAATCTGTGGTTGGTATGTAAAATGAATAGAAAATTTTCTTAGTAATAAAAGTAAAAAAAATTGTCAGATATTATTAAGATTTCCTCAAAAAAAATCTGAACTCATAAAATAAAACCTATACTTAAATTTCATTTCAGGATATTAAAGAGAATAAGGAGACCATTTAGTTCCAGTTATTTTCAAGTGATCAGGGGAACTCAGGTCCTGAAAGGGAGTCATAGTTACGGATCAAGAGCACAAACCTTGATGGTCTTTATTTCAGGTAAATCTAGAACTCACTCTGCCATCCTTCTAGCCATACATGCCTATTTAAATGTATGTCCTATGTTTTCACAGTCTTAAATCATGGAATTTGTAATAAGCAGCCCTCAATTATAAATACATTTTAATATTTTTACTACAAAAAAGATAAATGTCACATACATCAAAATGTATGTGATACTTTTTATGAGAACTGATCAGAGATATTTCATAATGCAGAGGTATTCAACAGCTGAGGAGTACAGTACTTCAAATATGTCAGCATATAAATGAAAACTAAAAACATGAAACAAAACCTGATAGAATATGAAGAGAAACACACAAATACATAGTTTAGGAGTCCAAACACTTCTACCAGCAATTGAAAAAACAAATAGAAAATAAATAAGTATATAAAAACATTATTAACCATATAGATCTACTTGGCTTCCCTCATATACTCTAAAATAAAAGTAGAATATACATTCTTTTCAATATATAGCAACTTCTGTGTAATAAAATATGTTTAAATAAATTTTACATATTTGTGACCACACAATATGTGTTCTTTCAGGAAAGTAAGTCAGAAATCTACAAAAAATAAATGTATTTTTTAATGCAAATACTGATGGGTCACCAATATTCAGGTAAAAGGAAGAGCTAGCTAAGCAAATCAGAAAAAAAGATAAACTGATTGAATAAATGGACTTTAACAATGTTTGTGTTAGATTATAAAGTACATATGTGAGGAAAATCTATAGCATAAATAATTATATTAGAAGAAAGAACTAAAATCCATTAGCTAAGCTTCTATTCAAGGAATTTTCAAATAGAAAAACTTTTCAAACACCAAACAAGAAGAAATTAGATATTTTAGTGAATTTTAGTACATAAATTAATAAATATTTAACAGAAAACACAGGGAAAAATGAAAAAAATCTGAACATCTAAGAAATTGCTAAAACTGAATAATCCACTAACAAGAAAAGCTAAGACACAAAGCAGGTTAGTACACAGTGCTGGTCTCAAAATTGAAATAGAGAACATTACTACAGACCCTACAGATTTAGGAAAGATAAAAAGGAAAGCTGATGAATAACTGTATTTCAATCAGTTAAATATTTAACAGTCACAATCTAAGTGGTCAGCTAAAAGGGAAATATTATTTTAAGAATGTATTTCATTTTAAAAGAGAAATAATATTTAAACTATTTAATTTCATATAAATTCCATATTGATAATATTTTCTGTAGTGCAGAAACATTTTCTTAAACTTGTACAGACCACTGACTCGTTTTATCAAATCACAGATCACTGATTCCTAATCTTGCAAATAGTATATGCTAGAATATCTGTAGGGAAAGATGGAGTTTTTCAACAAGGCTTTGCCTAGTATACCAGCAAGTAAAACATACCTTTCTCCTTGAACATAGGTAGCCATCTCTTTTCTTACAATCTTTACAGATTCTAAAGTTTTTAATGTGGAAAAAAGAATCAATGTAAATAATGCAATAAAATCTGCATCTATGGATCTACTGCCTTTTAAGGCAACAAATACTTAATCCAAATAGTAATGATACAAAGTTTTTATTTGTTTGAAAGCTATTTGGAATAAAATAAGAATTGTAAAACTTACAAAATACCTAATAAAAGTCTGCATTTTATAATATGAAAGTCTCAGCTAGTAGGAATGTAACTAATTAATATCATCTGAGGTAAATTTCCAGGTAGGACTGATAGCCATCTGCTTGACCTTGTACTAGATCAACGTGGAAGGGTAGCCATAAATCACTGTTTCCCAAATGTTATCGCTCCATCAACCCACAGAGAGAAGGCCGGAATGTGGATGACGAAGGTACTTCTTTTTCACACACCTTTACATTGACAGCAGTGTTTACTTGGGCTTTAAGTAAGACAAGTCTGAACAGTTTTAATAATGTTCTACACAGAAAGAGACAGAAAGGAGACCCAGGCTCAGTGAGGGAGATTTCAAGACAAAAGAGTGAGTAGGCAAAGTACTGAAGGGGGCCACACAGAGGCAGAGACATGACAGGTAAAGCAACTGACCTCTGTCTAATGTAACAAGAATTTCCTCAAATGCCTTCAAATTCCCAATTCTAGGTTCAGAAACAGTGCCATAAATTTAAATATAAAATAAGACCCAGATCTACGTTTAAATAAATATGCAACCATATTTCCATAAACCCTGTGTGTAGATTTTTACTTATATGTTAAGAATAAATCTTTTTAAGTTGGGGGTGGTAGCTTGAGGCTGGAATCACAATATTCATAATGCTGCATCAGGAGAATTGTCAGAACTTCAAGGCTAGCCTGGCCTATACAATGGGTTCCAAGCCCTCTTAAGCCACAGTGTTAAACAATGTCTCAAAACATACAGGAAAAATAACATCTTGGAGGAAACTTAGTAACCTTTTCTGGAAATCTTAAATCATAAGAAATTTGTCCATGTTAAGGAGGTAAATAGTAAAATACCTTAACAATATGATCTTGAATTAATTATTGAAACTTGTACATTTTAACTACTTTTTTCCCATGTGATTTTTTCTATAGCATATTGATTAATATATGCTGCTCTACTGTCGAAATGTCTAGCTATTAACCTATAAATTAAGAATTTAATTTAGATTATTATTGTGGGTACACCTCTTAAAATTAGTATTAGAGTTACAGAGATGGCTCTGTGATGAGTGATAGTCTATTATAACTCTAGAGTACTAATAATTGTGGGAAGAGCAAAAGTCAGGAACTATTGATAGGTAGATTATTTTATCATGTCATAGTCTACATAAACTACACATTAGGACAACCTGTTCTTTGTGTATCTGTTTTGATTTGAAAGCATTTAAACACTAGACATACAGTAATATAAAAGTCTATGGTAACTTCTACTCTATATGGTGCAACAACTACTCTCCTCCATAGTACTGACACTTAGTTCTAAAAGATGAAACTTCTGGAATACATAGATTATAATTTTCCTTTCCAAGACAGATATACTGAATGATCCTAAGTGGCCAATCACTTGTAAGCATTTACATGGAAAAATCTGGTTAGTGTGGATGCAATAGCAGGGATGAGACTTAGATATCTGGACTATGGGGCCACCTCACTTCCTCACACAGTAAGAAAAATATAGGTAATTATACTTTTCCTTGAGGTTTTCTTTTGCTTGTTTGTTTTTCTTTCTTGTTCTGATTTGATAACTTCAACTTGGGAGACAAAGTGAGAGCAACTGTAAAATGCTTTTGTAATTCAAGAGAAGTAGAAGAATTTCAAAGCGGTTCTTGTGTCCCCTGCCTCTCCCCTTCATTTCTTCACATCTAAGTTGCATGGCTATGGTTTTAGGAGGAAGTGCCAGGCACAAAGGTTAAGGGTGCAATTAGAAGCTCACACTTAATAACCTCTAAACCTGGCTTCTCAGTGCTCAAGTAACCTTGGGGAAAGCACTTAATAACTTAAAAAGAAAGAGCTGACAAGTGTTAACCAATGTGCTATTTTCAATTCCTATGTGAATGCCTTAGAGTAACTTTATTATCAAAAGCAACTAAACACATGTGCAACCCCAGAGTTCATGTAAAAATTAGAAATATAATATACACACAAATGGTCCTGAAGGCAAGATGATGTTTCTCATCCAGTTCATATTTCATCTGTCCAGTTAGTAAGGGTTACATGACTGACCCAACCACCCAACTAGAATTGATGTGAACAGTGTACATTAGCTCCATGAACACATTTGATAACCACACCCTCAGAAGACCTCATGGCATTTTATATAAATCAAAAATTGAAATCGTAACATTTCCAAGCTTGAGAAAACAGTATTTTATACAACAATAATCAATGCATTGTCCCAAATATTTTTAGGTCATTTTCACCTCATTAGAAAAACATACCAACCATGGGAAACACTTTTGGAATAGAAAAACATACCATTAGAACAACTCCAGTTTTGAAGCTAATACTTGGAACTTACTGGAGTTATTATAGTGACTAACCTCCTGTAGCCCTTTCTAATCCTGAAGTTTGGCGTGAAGGGGATGCTCCCCAGCACAGCCAGCTGACACAGAAGATGCTGCACTTTGAGCTCTTTATTGCGTCCCTGGAATATACACTCAACCCAGAAGAAACTTAAGGGGGGAAATGGCAGCAAATACCTCAAGTGTTTTCATAGACATTCCCTCCAACGCAAACATTAACCAATCATAAATAACCACGCCATTCAAAAGGTAGCCTGTAACACTTTAAGAACCAAATAATGATATTGAATTTTAATTAATATGTTAAGTTTTCATCTGGATAAGAAAGAAAAAACAAGACCTCAAAAATATTTTTCGTAAGTTTTATCAAATTTCTTACCATCAAATGTTAAATAAACTCGTGCTTGGGGCTGGGAAGATCCTCTGACAGAAATAGAGCAAATAAATACTCCAACCAACACACAAATCTCCCGGAATGCCATTTCTTCTTATTTGAAAATTAATATCCAAGGGAAAATACCTTTAAAAGAGAGATGAGAGACTTGTGAAATATCGTTTCACATTTTGGCAAACCAGAAAGACAGCAATGTGGACAGAACTTTGAGAGACACAGCTTAAGGGCTGCAGGCAGCAGGCAGTAGGAGGTGCTGCGACTTTGTTTCTCCAATGGAAACATTTGGATTTCTGTGTATGGAAATCTTTGCAACAAGAAATTGCTTTATCTTCCCATAAAAACAATGCTGTCATCAAAGTAGAACAAAGCATCAAGGGAAAAACATAACTGATTCCCCCAGAGAAATCCAATAGCTCAGCTCTCCAATATCCATGCCATTTTAATGATTGAGTATTGATGAATAAAGAACTCTTCCTAATAAATACAGTAGTAGAGACATTCCACTTCCCCATTCATAGGTCCCATTCATCCTATGCTCATTAACTCTTCTGAATTAATTGTCTCTGAAATAGTGTTTCCATACATAAATCTACCCGCTCCGTCCCGGATTAGTAAATTACTTCAATCAGTTATCTGCCAATGCATTCAGATGACCAGGCAGCGGTTAAATGATGCAGATGAGGTAACCATGGACTCATGCCAAATTTAAACCAATGACCAAGTGGTGAGTAATCCACAGGAACCTCCTATCCACCAATGCATATTTTACATAAATCAACCACAGAGTGGGCTGTCAAAACTCCAAACATTAAATCAAAGAGACAATGTTCTTGCTTGAAAATTGTAGCTATAAAATTTATATAAGCTATTAACTAATGTCTAAATACAAAGAGAGGCCAGGTACTGTTATAACAAACCTATATGAGCCCCACTGGCCACATCATGCTAGCGAACTCAGGATCATGAAAGAAACCCCATCACTTCTTCTCTGGTGCAATTGTGCAGTAAAATGACAAGCACATTTAATCTGGAGATGCATCTTTACAGATCTTATGTTATATGGCTTTTTAAATTGAAACTGCATTATTGATTCTATTCAATAAGGAAGTGCAGTCAAAAATTGAAAAGCCTCTTTTCACTGACACAGAAGGAAAATAACAATTAAACAGAGCATGCAATCTCAAATAAACATCTAAACTGGTCTCATTGGTGTCACATACGCTGCAAGAGTTAGACATGAAACTCTATGCCTCTGCCACACAGACGGAGGAACCCCTAGAGATGTTTGTGTTGGTAATTTTTAAAAGACACAGTTCCTTCCTGCTTCCACAACCTCTTCACCCTGTCATCCCTAAATTAACTCAGAAGAAAATTGATTTTTATGGGTGACTTTCCCTTAGTAGCTTACCCCTGGGACTTGTTGACTTAGTAGTTGGAGCTAGGCAGAGGAGAGTACTATTAATATGTCCAACTTTAGTCTGTTTATTAACCAGATTGGAAACATTCATACATTTTTACATATTGCTATTGCCAGTATATAATCTGATATGCGACCCTAGAGAAGACATACTGTATAAATTGCAAAGCCTAATACCGTCTATGTGACTTGGTGGATCAGACAGCGCTGATCTATCTAACAGAACAACCTGGTTTCAATCCCACCTCCTGAATGCCTAATGTCTCTCTTCCCACCTCCCCACCTAAGTGCTATACAACTTCGTTCCTTTTAACTCACACAGTTAAATGTTCTTGCTGGTGCTTGGTCTTCTACTATCAGCAAATACGAGTATATAAGAATTATTTTGTTATTTCCACCCATTTTGTTTCCCTTAGAAGGCATTGGAATACCCAACTTAAACTCTTGGCAGGTGCCACAGCCTCCAGCCAGGCTCAGCTCAGGGAGCGCTTTCCTCCTAAGCCGCGTGGGCTCCTAAGAAAATGCCCAGACTTGAGCACACCGATGAGAAAAGTCAGTACACAGACCCAGAAAAGTTCGATTTCGCTAACCGAGCAAGGCTGAAAATCTGAGTCAGACTTACCGAGGTGGAAAGAGATTCCCAAGACGTCAGCCACTTGCTCCAGGCTGGGAGTCCCAGTCCCCTAGGTCTTTTCTCCCAGAAGACCTTCAATGACTTAGGGAGTCCCGAGGGTGGGATTCTTGCTGGCTGGGGCTGAGTTTCTTTGTAGAAGAATCCCGGGCGGAAGAGCCGCGGCACCCGGAGCCCTTCTCCACGTCGCTCAACTCCGCACCTCGGAGTGAATGGCAAGTGGCCGGGCGCCGGGGGCGAGCGCTCGGTGTCCGATTACAGCGACGCGGCGCGCGGCTGAGGCTGCCCGGGCGCACCGCCCAGCCGGCTGCAGCAGCGGCCCCGCGTGGCCCGTCGCATCTGCACGGGCCGCCGCCCCACCCAGGGAGCGCCGGGCCGCCGGTGGCAGGGAGCCGGAGGGAGGGCGGAGCACAGGCTGGCTCTGCGCGGGAAGGCGCTGCAGCAGGCTAGACTCTGCCCGGCAATCCTGCCTTTCGCAACGAACGCTCGCTGGGCGCACTCGGACGGTCTGGCTACGCGCGGCTCACGGCAAGCATGCAGGCTTGGCGAGGCTGTAAATATCCAAGTGCAAAGCAGTATTTTTGCCAGATGAAAGAGCCCTGCATCCTTTTAAGGCAAAGAGTTACCGTTTTAAAAGGGCAGGGATCTTGTCTTTACCCTGAAGCAACATTTCTAAAGCCAGCGGAGAGAAACCAACTCCCTCCTCTCAGAAGTGTAACCTTTTATGAGTATTGTTTCCTATTGTGTTTCCCTAATGTCCTGAAGTCAGTAATTAGGCTGACCTTTCCCCTCTGAATCATATCTAGCACCTTCCTCTCCCGGACACTCCCAAAATATCGTTGTAAAAAATTTCATCTTTCTGTTTTGGTTGTTTGTCGTTCTTTGTTTTGTGTTCAAGAATGCTGTTTTCAACCGTGCCAACACCGGGGTTCATAAATCTACGCACCAGCGAGTTATTTCCAGTCCTGCTTTCAGGAAAACTCGTTAAGCTGTGAAACTGACTTTGATGGGGAGGTGGAGGTGGGGGTGGGTAGTTATTTCCACTGACCACACTGAATTAAACGAACATCAAAAGAAAAGACTTTCACTCCCTGTAAAGTGAGCAGAGCTTGGTTAGAAGTCACTGTGCACTTCGGCCCAGTAGGTGTCACTGTGTGAGGGAACCGTGGGCGCAATTTGTTTGCTGTGTACTTGGCAGTTGCCTTACAAAATGAAGTAGACTCTAAGTTCTTACCAAAGCTGTCACGGGGAAACACCTCTAAGGTTACCAAAGAGACTCACTGCTCAGTAGGGCCTAGGAATGGGACTTTGTCAGAGTGAGGGATGACAAGGAATGTCTTCCTTGTGTCTACCTAGACACCACTTCTAATGTCCAGTAGATAGAAAGAAACGTCTGGTTTTCACTGTACTCGAGAGATGTGGAAATAAAGTAAAAGAAGTTTATAATTTGAGTTAATGTTTCCTTGCAGGGTTCGATTCACTTTGATGGTCTGTACTTGAGGGTGTGCTATCTCTGTATCCACTGGACCAGGGGCCTGAGTAGATTTCCTCAGAAGAACACGTATGAATGGGCAAGAGATGCCGGAAAGTGCTCCGTATCACTCATCCCTTGGGCCATCCAAATGAAAAGCTAGGAGGTATCACTTCACAGCTGAAGGTTAATACCAAGAAGACAGGAGGAGAGACTTCCCCTCCAGGACGCACACACGGGAGAAATGAAATTAGTGCAATCATTCTGGAAAACAGTATGAAACGTCTTTAAAACTAAAAGTAGAACTAGCATCTGACCCAGAAATCCCTCTCTGAACATTTACCTGAAATATCCGAGGTCAGGCGGTCTAAACATCTGCCTTCCACACCCCTTGCATCAGGAGTCACAGTAGTCAAGTCAGCCCAGGTGTCAGCCACAGTCATACGAACCAACCAAGAAGCTGTGTGTGTTTGGGACACCACATCACAAATTCCTCTGTACAAACTTCCCAGGCTTACCGCGGAGGAAAAGTCTTTTGTACAAACATGGTTGAATTGGAGAGTGAGAGAAACAGGCCTAAAGCAAAAGACAAGCAAAAGGCAAATATCCTATGGCTTTATTTATCTGTGAAAATGGACACGATTTTCTCAGAGGAGCAGAGATAAGAAAGGTGGTGACCAGAGACTGAGAAGTGATGGAAGTCGATCAAACTGGATGGATGCTTTGACTTTTGTTTTAAATTCAATACCACAATGTGGTGAAGATAGATAATACCTGAATTCTATGCATTTTATATTTGGTAAGAGGATAAATTTCTAACATTGTCACCTCAAAATATTAAATGATGTTTAGCAGTTGCTCCTTATTATGTTCAGAAGTCATGCCACTATACTGGCCAGTAAATACAGCTCTCATATGACAATATAATAAAATTATTTAAGTATACTTCTTTACACATTGAACATTGAACTTAAGAAGTCAAAAATAATATTCCAAGAATTATTTTAAAATTTATATGAGATTGTTTTGAGAACAGCTTCTATTTAATAGATTCGTTATTTCAAAAACCAGTATAGAAAGGATTAAGCTCTCTTTAGAACATAAATATAATAAAAATGTGAGCAGCTCCTTGACTGAGGTTTATAAAACACAGAGACAAGCCAGAAACATCTGCCTATATTAAAAAGCAATCGGAAATAAACACTACGCTTGCTTGATGTACTTTTCAAACTAAGATCACAGTTACATCCAGCCCAGTTGTTTTCATATGGATATAAAGCAAAACTGAATCAATGTCTTTAAATGTTTGTAAGTGCAAATTGAATCACTAGAAAGATAATTGAATTATCAATTGAGAAATGTGAAGCTATTTGACACCAATTAATATACAAACTCATGTAAAGTAGAGTTTTCTTACACATTTTATCTGTAAATTTCAAGGAATCAAGACAAACCACAAGGTGAATGAGTGTCAAACAGTGACTTATCAGGGAGCTTAGTTCAAAACTGGGTTTACAAAATCCCAGAGAATTCTGTCTTTCAGTCCTACTCATGAGGCTTCGGAGAGTGTGAGAAATGCTCACTTGTAATCCCAGCCTATGAAACTTGCACCAAGATCCTCTTTACTCAGCCTGGGTAAATGTTTTCAATGTGTTCCTGAGATTTAATGCTATTTACTCAGCCCTAGGACATTTGCAATTTAGCCACACCTCTAAATGAGTCATAAAATACTGATAGGCATTAGCCAAGGAAAGTTCAAGGACATAATCAGTGCTTAGGCTTACCTGAACATGAAACAATGGAGTAAAATGTTTGGCATCACGTTAGATGTATCATAGATTTTCCCCAAACTGCTCAGGAGCCTGAAACACTTTGACAAAGCAGGATCCAGGTGAGAACCTGAGAACCATTTTTTAAGGCATTGTCTTGACTCTTTCCTTACAGATGGAAATAACATCAACTGATTTTGAAAGCTGTTAGGAAAAAGTAGTCAATGAATGGACAAGCAGGAGCAATACCCAAGTGAACTTGCAGGGTATTAATTCCCTACAGTTTTCGCATTAAAACGTCCTAGAGAAAAACACCCCCAATTTGGAGTCCTGAGGATCACTAGCTTTAGGAAGTCTGCACTTGCAATGGGCATTTCTTTGTCTGCATCACCCCTGTGTCTCCTTGGCTCAGGTTAGTTGTTCGGAGACCAGGCCAGCCAGATAAGTCTGCCCTAGAAATCTGTATGTGGAATTGCTATCTGAGGGGCTTTGTAGTTCCTCTATCAAAATCATTCCTGATTTTTTTTTAAAGGAAGATGAGTGTATCCCCACCTTCTTTCTCAATTCACTCTCATTCTCTACTGATTTTTCTTTTCTTTTCCTTCCTTCCTTCCTTCCTTCCTTCCTTCCTTCCTTCCTTCCTTCCTTCCTTCCTTCCTTCCTTTCTTTTGTTGTTGTTGTTGTTGCTGCTGTTTGTTTTTCAAGACAGGGTTTCTCTGTGTAGCCCTGGCAGTCCTAGGATTTGAGGCAGGAAGAAGGAGAAGGAGAAGGAGAAGGAGAAATAGCAGCAGTTTTCTATTGGAATAGACTCACCAAAAAGAAAACTTTTATTGTTGACGTTATAATTCAAAATAAGATATATGTAGATATGGAATTTAAAGTTTAGCCACAGAGGAGACAGCTCAGTGGTAGAGTGCTTGCCTAACATGACTGAGACTCTAGGTTCAATCTCCAACAAACAAGTAAACAAATACTAAAAAATATCAAGCCCAGGTTTTCAACATTTCTTTAAACACTATTAAAAGTCTTAAATTCCATTCAGTGTGTGCATCTAAAGCACAGCGGTAGCCTACTGCCTACAATGTTTATGTATTAGAGTATTTCATTGGAAAACAGAATGAGAAAGACTATCAGTAATATGACTGCTAGATTTTTTTTCCTTTTTTTTTGCAAAAATGTCATGTGTGTCTGACAGCAGTGGTAAAAGAATGTGGCAAGCATTCACGCTTTCATCATAGGGTGAAATGTGAACTCTTTGTCCTTATGGTGTCTACGAGGCAGAATCCCAGTGAGACTGAAGTTTGTGTGTCATCTGGGATTAACTGGATACAACTGCAGTTACAGGTGTCTCCACAAATAACGTTTCTCCCTTAAACATATGCACACATAGTCAGGGTCTTAGTCACTTGAGGAAAACAACTGCTTTTACACAACTATTGTAGCTAAGGCTTTCACCTCACCCTTTCTCATATGGATCTCCCTTGAGTAGCTATGGAGGCCTGTGGAAGTGCCTCTGATTGTCAACTGTGAGGAATGAGACCTAGCAATAGGGACAGATGAAGAAGTAAAAGCTCAACTGTTATGGCTAGCTGCGTCCCATCTCCAGCCCACCAACATCTTCCAAAGCCTTGTCCATGAAATCTTCAGAATTTACTAATTTCCTACTCTTCTTGAACTTTGAATGGTTGACTAGAAAGGAGTATTAAGTTGCATAAACAACTCCTTTGCCCTGGCAGACGCATTCTTATAATGAATGGCATATGATTCTCTCGAAGCAGTTTCCACTAGACAGAGTAGTGAGTGCAGGAAGCGTGAAAGTTCTGAAGCATTGACGGTTTAATTGGTCTACTTTTAGTCACAATACTTAAGGATCTGGAATTCAGGTGACACTCATCAGCTCTGTAGACATGTGCAAAGATCACCTTTAATCTCCAGAACACATGACAAGAAGATGTAAGTACATCCACTCTGCAAAAAGAAACCTAGCTCAGAGACATAAGCAAATTTCCTTCCCCTGGGCCGCAGATAACGAACTTGGTTGTGCTGT